TCTTACGCTTTCGGCAATTCTTTTTGTACCAGTTCAACGCAGATTCGGAATAAGAACCTCTTTGCTCTCTGTTTTCGTTTATTCTCATTTAAATTCTAAGTATTTTCGCCATCTTATTTTCGTTGTGCGGTTCTCGCAGATAGCCGGTTCCTCTGGAAACTTAGGGTTTTCCCGAAGTTTCCTTTTTTACGATTTATTTGACAGTAGGGTGAAATCGACTCCCACACGCTCCGTTCCAGGGTTGATGACAACATCATATTAAGAGAAAGAACTGACGAGAGGAGAAAAGGGAAAAAGGGAAGAAGAAAACATCCAGTGGTGACACGGTGTCACTGACACCCCACCGGAGCAACCGAAAAAGAGTTGAAGCAGCGAAAGAGTTTAAAGGGATAGAGAGTTTAGAGAGGGAATACTCTTTTTAATGTCTGAAGTTGGCACATGTTTCAGCTGAATTTTTTTTTTCTTTCTTTTTTATCGTTTACAATTTTTTTTGAAAATATGTTACAACAACACACATGAAAACATGAGGGTATCTAACATTTCTTGATTTATGAAAATATTTTACAACAACATATGAAACCGCATCTTTTTCTTTATTAGGGATTAATATATCAAAAACTTTCTTGATCTTGATTTTATATTTCCTCTTCAATACTGCAACCTTTTTATGCTTTTCGAGAAATAAGATACCCAGGAGGGTTTCTAACATTTCTTGATTTGATACTCGCAGTTTTCAAAAGTCTACGAAATTCATGGAGACTGATTTTACCATCATTATCTATGTCTGCTTCTTCAAGAAGTGGGTCAATGGACCCTTTCAAGCCAGTATGCTGCAAAAACGAACAAAACAAAATAGTGTGACGCTAATTTACTTAAATAAGAAGCATATAATGATAATAGTAAATAAAATATCAACCATTCGAAGCTCTTCTGCTGTTATGTATCCGTCTCCGTCTATGTCGAATTTCTCAAATGCTGCTCTTGATCTTTGTTGCCATTTCTCAGAATCATGCTCCTCTAATTGATTTACGTGTAACGCAGCAGCAACAAACTCTTCGAAATCCACAAATCCATCTGTGTTGCTATCAATCTGCATGTAAGCAACAAACACACAAGTTCTAGCTTAATTTTAGAACCACATCATCATTAACTAACTTAAATTTACATACATACCGCTTGGAGAATCTCAGCCACTCGTGCATCCTTAAGCTTCCATGGTTGATCTTTCGCAAGAGCCTGTACAAACATGAACTAACGTCAGGTATAGTATTTGGTATTTTTCACTTCGCTAGTGATTGAGGGCTTTGTTTTCATTTTTACCAGCCTCATCTCGTCAAGACTAATGGCTCCATTCTTATCAGCATCCATCGCACCAAACTGGTCTCTAAGATCAGCCAACTCCTCTTCATCAAGCGTTGTTGCAAGAGCCTAGAATCAAAAGAAACAACTCATATTATATAAAATACAACATCAAAACCTCAAATGAGACACAAATTTCTTTTGTTAAATACCCTTAAGGCAAATTGCTTGAGGCGGCTAAATTTTACAAATTGACGCATATTGCTGAGAACAGATATGTCTATGGGAATCTCAGTTGCATCTCCTCCTTCTCTAACCCATGGATGTGCTGCAACAACAAGAACAACAACAAAAAAAAGACAGAATATTCAGAATAAGATAAGAAAATGAAAACAAAACTATGGAAAAAAATGTGCTTACATAGTGCTTGTGCAGCTGTTAATCTAGCTCTTGGGTCTTTTACTAACAACTTCTTAACGAAATCTTTGGCACTATTGCTAATAGTTGGCCAAGGTTTTCTTCTGTAGTCAGGTTTGTTCTTCAAGACCTATATATATTTTTATTAACACATCTTAATGATTAGAGATTTTTGATGAGTATTTACCTCAGGGAGACTACACAAACCTCTTTGAATATACCATCTTCAGTCTTATCCCAGAAAGGTCGTCTCCCGCAAAGAAGAATGTAACTGATAACACCGATACTCCACACATCTGATTCAGGTCCTGACCTGCGTTTCAATACCTCAGGTGCTACATAGTACGCGCTTCCTACTATATCATGAAACTTCTTGCCTACAATATTGTATCAAGATTATTGTTGTTTAAAGTTATGAATAGAGAAGTAATATATGAAGACAAACTTTGCAGCTAACCTGGTTTGATGAAGTCTGATAAACCAAAATCTGTAGCTTTTAAAGCTGAATCTTCTTCAGTTGATTTGAATAGAAAATTCTGATTGGTTTGAAAAGGAAAAAAAGAAGTAGTGAATAAAACCAAACTACACATTTAGAAACGTGATGATGAAAAGAATATTATACAAACCTCTGGTTTCATATCTCTGTGAACCAAACCACGCAAATGACATTCAGCTGCAACTTTTAGCATCTGTCTTACTACCACGGCCGCGTCTCTCTCGGTATAATGACTATCTTTCCTGGAAAAAATAGCAACAAAAGGTATTAAGTCTCTATCACTCAGCAATAACCTAAAATGTATCAGTCATGTAAGGACTTACTTGGCTAATATCCGATCCAGCAATTCACCACCCTCACATAACCTAAAAACAATATACACAAGAAACTTAATGATTTACCCTTTCATCTATATTGGGGTGCACAAGAGAATATGATAATAGAAACACATGGTCTAAAAAGGCTTTTTACTTACTCCATGGCTATATAAACAGAGTTCTTGTCCTCGAAGGCATTGTAAAACCGAACCACGTTTTCATGACCAGTTAAAGCTTGTAGTATCTTCACCTCTCTCTTAACATCTTCCACAGCTATCGGAAGTGTCATCTGCCCAACAAATCAAAACCCTAGCGTTAAGCTCAAGAAACGCAAGAAACAATTCAATATTGACTAATGGTAAAATTAAACGTTACCTTGCCTTTATCTATTTTCTTGACGGCGACACGATCACCTGTTCTTTTGTCTATAGCGACATACGTATAACCAAACTGACCATGTCCGAGCAACTTCCCGATAGTATAACGGTTATCGAAATCTTTAGCGTACCCAAAATCCACGCGCTTACCGTACGGGATCTTTTCTACATGTCTCTTCACCTTTTCTCTCGCCTTCCCGTGCGTTGGCGTCTGTCGTGTTTGCGTATGTGGTGGTGTTTTCTTATTTGTTGTCGCGGCGTTTCGTCGCGGTTGTGTCTTGTGGTCCTTTTGGATTGTAATGGCTAGGAATGAACATGGCATTTGTGGTGGTCTGGGTTTGGCGACGGTGAGAGGATGGTGTTGGTTGGGACTCCGGGGGTTGCGATGTTGGCGCCTGGAGACTTTGGGGGAGGAGAAACAGAGACCCATGGTTTCGGTTTCTGCCTGGACCCTACGCTAGGAGGATGCTTTCTTCAAAGATACCGTGTGTGGCATTAATGAATAGAATAGAAAATGAAGTTGCCAACGAGGCAGCATTGCCAGACATATCGGGAGAAATGCAGGAGAGAAGGGAATGTCAATCGTGTTGGAATCAGTTTGTCTAAAAAAGAGTTGATTTAGTTTTAACAATGTTTTTTTTAACAACCACTAGATCATGTCCTGTTCTCTCGTGCGGGTTTTATATTTGCTTTGTAAATCTTATATACATGTATATTATTCGTTTATGTGATGTATTAAATTTTATTGGAACTACAGTATATGTATTTATTGTTTTTCAAGAGTGGGATATTAATATAGATTTTTGGACACTTCAAAATGCACATCCAAAACATATTATCTTGTTTTTAGTATAACTAGAGTTATTCCCGGACTACGCTCAGATTATTTTGCAACTTTAATTCAATTTAAGTTTTTGTTATTTTTATTTTAATGAATCTATATTATGGATAGCCAAAAAAAAAACAAAATAGATTTTTACTAATTTTTTTTAATTATTTTAAAAAAATTTAAACCTGAAACACTAAACCTCATAACTCTAAACCCTAAGTCTAGATTAGTTAACACTATGGGTATAAGTGAATATTTATACTCTTTAAGAAAACTTCTTTTGGTCATTTTTTTTTCCTTAGGGACTATATTTGTGACAAAAAAAAAATTTGAGTTATCTAAGTCTTTTTCTCTTTTAAAAATTTAAATTATTTCTGCTAAAAAATTTAAGATAATTAGAACTCAAAATTCTTATTATGATCTAATTATTATTTTTATTTGAGATTTAGGTTCTTATAAAAATTACTGTTTAATTGTCACTAATTTATGGAATAATTGACTTTCTATTTTTAAACTAACAATAAGTTTTACTTCTGCTGTTGAAAATTATATTCTCTTTCGCATTGGTCTTTGGATTTTCGTTTTTATCTACATTAAGAAAATGGTGGAATTAGGAACAATTGAAATCAAATTAATTAAAGATACATGATATGCATGCACTTCCAAGGTGATGAGCTGGCAAATGAAGATTGTGCTATTATTGAGCTATTACCGACCTAGCAAGTGAAGAAAGAAGAAGGATTTGAGATGGTAGTTACGAAGCAGAAGATTAGTGGAATATAAATAAGAGGCTTTACCTTTCTTGTTGGCTATCGAGTTATTTGGAATATAAATAAGAGGCTTTATCTTAGTGGATCTACGTGTAATTATATTTGGATTAAAAAAAGAGTTTATTTCATAAAAAGGCAGTTGTTGAGTTTTTATATCATAAAAAGGCAGTTCTTGCTAGTGGGGCAGTTTTTGTGTGGAAAGACTTAACTTGCCCCTAACTGAACACAAACCATCTTCTGTTTTAGTTGGGCTTCTGGTTTCTTATTTTTTTATTTTGTTTTATTTTTGAAATTCAAATGGTTTTGGTTGACCTCAAAGAAAATCAATCAATTTTCTTTATTTTACATTCTGAGATTTTTAGGGTAAACATAAGTGGAAAAAGGGTTATAATGGTGATTCCCAAGGAAAGAGAATTACAGTGAAGGCTTATACGTTTACTTTGTGGGTTTTTTATCTGTTTTTTTTTATTTTTGGATTATAATATGTTAATCTATATAATATTAGTAAATTCTAGAGATAAAACGCAAAACAATGAAGATTGTATGATAAAAATCGACATAAAAAATCAATGGAGGCGGTGTGATATTTGTAGAAAACGCAGAAAACCCTAGTAGGAAGAAGGTGAACTTATTACAAAATCGCCATTCATTAAAAAAAAAATAATTGAAAAACCACGTGGATGTGTACATAATGCTTATGTACACATGTACAATGACTGCGTACATATGTACATGTGTGTAAATGTGTACAATCGTGGTCGTGTACACATGTGTACATTCGTGGTTATGTACATGTGTACAATCCTGGTTATGTACAATATTATATATTATTTATGTACACATATGTTCGAAATATGCTTGTTGCACATCAAAATTGTGGTTTTATATTACAAAGGTTTTACAAAATGCATAATCCATGTGTACACTTATTTTCATATACACCATATTCAGTTTAATTTGATCTATTTTGTTTCTTTAGTAAGCTACCATCAATCCACCTACTTGCGTACACATAATGTTAGTGTACACATGTATAGTGACTACGTATATGTGTACTTGTGTGTAAATGTATACAATCGTGGTCGTGTACACATGTGTACATTCGTGGTTATGTACATGTGTACAATCGTGGTAATGTACAATATTATATATTATTTATGTACATATATGTTCGAAATATGCTTGTTGCACATCAAAATTGTGGTTTTATATTACAAGGGTTTACAAAATGTATAACCTATGTGTACAACTATTTTCATGTACACCATATGCAGTTTAACTTGATCTATTTTATTATGTATTTTGTTTTTTTAGAAAGATTAGATTAATTGAGAGTTAGAAAACAAACCTTTGTTTATAAGCTGCAAAGAAATCGATTTTGGGTGGAGAATTTCAGAAGATCCGTAACAAAATTGGAAAGGGAGCTGAGAAGAAGACTTTATCAAACAAGATAATCTCAACCGTTGAAAAATCTGTGTATCTAATCCAATAGTTCAAAAAAGAGACAGATATATGTCTAATCTTACTTTTTGGGAATAAATCTGGAACGTTGGATGAAAAAGAAACGAAGGGCTGAGGTTGGTTCCCGCTTAAACCAATTGTCTAGTTACGGGGAAGCTAACTAAATGGTTGATAATTAGGAAACAAAGTGGGAAAAGTGTTGACAAACTACCTTGGTAGCACAAACTGCCTTTTTGTGATATTAAAAACATGAAACTGCCTTTTATTGATATTATTTCTTAAAAAAACCTCAAATAAATAAGTTGACAGACACAAATTAAAATGAGAGAACTTATACCACTTTGGTGGTACCACTTTTCATTTTTACCATCAACAAATGAACATTTTCAAAAATACACATTTCATTAAAGAATAAAAGACTCTTGTACCCTTCTTCTTTATATATTATATGAAATAAATAAAAAACACAAAACATCAATACTAAACTCTAAACCCTAAAACATCAATTCCAAACCCTAAACCCTAAAATATTAACCCTAAAGCCTAAAACATTAATTCTAAACCCTAAACCCTAAAAATCAACCCTAAACCCTAAAATATCAATTCTAAACCCTAAACCCTAAACCCTGAACCCTAATAAATCAACACTAAACCCTAAACTCTAAACCCTAAACTCTAAATTTGAAACACTAAACCCTAAATTCGAAACCCTAAACCCTATCTTCGAAATCCTAAATCTTAAATTCTATACCCTAAACCCTAAATTCTAAACCCTAAATCCTATACCCTAAACCCTAAACTCAAAATCCTCAACCCTAAACTCGAAATCCTAAACCCTAAATTCTAAATCCTAAACCCTAAATTCTTAACCCTAAATCCTAAATTCTTAACCTTAAGCCCTAAATTCTAAACTCTAAACCCTAATCCATCAAAACCTTATTAAAAGTGTTAATTTTAATTAGTTAAGGGTATAATAGTATTTTGCGTATTAAAATTTTAATGGTAAAGTTGGTTAGTGTAAAGTTGAAAAGTGGTATCTTGAAAATGTTATTTCTGGCAACTTCCCAGTTAAAATATTAATAGAATAACAAAACAATTTGCTAATATACTCAGTATTCAATAAATAAATTTAAAATATTCAAATTTAACGAACACGTGCGTGCTCAAAATTTTATCTTCCACGATTTGTTCATGTTTTTATATTTGAGAATTTGTTCTTAATTAGTTTGTCACTTTTTTTCCTTTTTTGGCACAAATATTTCTTAAACTAAGTTACATTAGCTCTATAAACTCAGTTTCATAATCTCATATCATCATTTAATTGACGTAACTAATATTTTTTAAACGTCAGTAAACCAATCTTCCCCACTGTTAAAAGAAAAAAATAAAACTAAACGATTATACAAATGATTTAAAAATATATATTATTTTATTTCACCTCCTTTATAGTGTGTCAGCAGCAGTAAACGGTTTTGATTTCTTTGTGTTAACCATATAAATACATTACTACGAGAATGAAATAATTAAATATCTATTGTGAGGAAAATGTTTAATATTTTTAAAAAATGATACATAAACTGAAATTCAGTAAAATATCTTCACATGTCTGCTAAATATTTTATTTAATAAAATACAATTTTTTAAAAAATTATAAGATATATTACTGGACAGAAACCCGGTAATATCTCTTGAAATTTTATCTTCCACGATTTGTTCATGTTTTTATATTTGAGCGTTTAGTCTCAATTTGTTTGTTACTTTTTTTCCCTTTTTTGGCACAAATATTTTTTAAACTAAGTTACATTAGCTCTATAAACTCAGTTTCATAATCTCATATAATCATTTAATTGACGTAACTAATATTTTTTAAACGTCAATAAACCAATCTTCCCCACTGTTAAAAGAAAAAAATAAAACTAAACGATTATACAAATGATTTAAAAATATATATTATTTTATTTCACCTCCTTTATAGTGTGTTAGCAGCAGTAAACAGTTTTGATTTCTTTGTGTTAACCATATAAATACATTACTATGAGAATAAAATAATTAAAATGTATGTTGTGAGGAAAATGTTTAATATTTTCAATACAATGATACATAAACTAAAATACAGTAAAATATCTCCATATGTCTGCTAAATATTTTATTTACAAAAATACAAAATTGTTTAAAATTATAAAATATATTACTATACAAAAACCCGGTGATATCTTTTTATTTTGATGAGTTTTAGATTCGTATTTTAGTTTATTATGATCATTCTAGGTTGCATTTATTTCTTTATACTGCATTTGCATATATAATTGCATTTGACAGGATCTAAGATGCACAATTGAGAAGTTTGGACGAAAATCAAGGGTCATTTTA